ATATATGTTAATAAAAATGAAAATAAACAGACTTGAAAATTGAACTTGTAGGGTTAGAGAAATAATTCTTTTATTTTGTCACTTAAAAATTGAATATTGATTTCCAAAATCTAATTAACAGTTGGAAAAAAATACTCTTCACCAAAATGTACTCTGAAAGACATCAGGAAACTCCTAGAGAATACACTTACAAAATGTAGTCATAAATTAGCAATAAATAATGCATCCATTTACATTATTTTAACTAGCAGTAAAAAATGTAGTAGATACTATGAGCACAATTGTAAGATATCTAGTCAAAATATATTCACAGGAGAAATGAGTAGTGGATGCTTCTGTCCAGTACCAAATGCAGTAGGACTTCAATACTGAATTCAGGAAAACAACTACCCAGCATGCAATTGTACAAGGTGGGAACTACACAGATTGAGCCAGAAGAGGTTCAGGATGGAACTTGTAAGGGACGCCTCCTACAGGCTGCAAAATTTGAGTTTTAAGGAAAGAAATTATTCTTCCTATTCTCTTACATTTTTCTTGCATAAGAAGAGGAACAACACTAGAGGAGCAACAGAAATAAAAATGCCACAGTCAAGAAAGAACAATGAAGAAAAAAAACCACTTATGTCCCTATCTTTCTAACGTATTTATAAGGAACCATGTGATTTTTTTTTGTTGTTGTTGCTTTGTATGTTCCTCTCCATGGTATAATGCCTGTTTTCACTGTATTTGATGTCGGTATAATTTGGGGAGGGGAAGGGAAAAAACAAAGTGTGTAAGTAGGGATACAGGTGGATCCATTGTAACAATGAGATGCACACTATGTTGAAAAATGAACTTTATAATTTAGGTGTTGGGGGGAGTGTAGTTATGGAAGTGGGAGGGAAGGGTTGGTAGGGGAAAAACAAAGGAAGAGGCAACAATGCTTGATAAGACATGTACTCATTACCTTGCTCATGTAACTGTAACCCCTCTGCACAGTATTTTCACAATAAGAAACATATTAAGAAAAAAAGAAAGAAAGAAAGCCTTTCTGTGGGAAAGTAATGAGAAATTAAAGGGAATAGATTTCAAGTCATAATAAAACGTATTTCTAGGATCGAAGGATTTGTTTGTAGTGGTCGTTTCTCTCCTTGGGTGAGCCTTGAGATTGCATGGGCAGTGATTAACTCCTATATCCATGTAAAAAAGCAATGGCCATTAAAATAGCATGATAATATCATAAAAATAGACTTAGCAATGGATAGAGCAGGATATAGAGTGTATGTGTAGTGTTTACACATATACAATGTTGGATGGTTAAACATAGAACATGAATCAAGCTAAGAGATTACACAGGAGAAAGAGAGGGAAGAATGGAAAAATAAAGAAGATGAAAAATTGACACATCTCAAGTCTATGAGAGCAGCATAGAGAAACTCAACAAAAGAGGATGACCAATAACAGAGTGCTAGAGAAGAGAGACTCCTGGGTAGGTGGGTGGGGACTAGGAAAAGGGGGCTGTGTCTGGGGGCAGGATAAAGAAGACTGAAGAGTGTTGAAATCAATTGCTTACAACTAGAAAATGGAACAAGGAAGCCTGTTAAGGGACGCTATTTCTTAGAGGGAAGGGCGCAAGGCCTGTGATAGAGATAGTGAAATCAGAGCCAACTCTCCATCTTCCCAACCCAAACACCTTCCAAGACCGCAGGTCCTTTTGCAGATACTGCTGTGTTCTGTTTAACAAACTCAGCAAGGTAATGCTGCCTTCCTGTCCTCCCTCCCCTACTCCCTGGTGGGCCAGGTGGCTGAGACACCTGTCCACGCTCGGAGCCTGCCAGGCTTGGCACCCCCACCCACCTCACAGATGGCCGGAAACTTGAAGAGATTCCTCTTTCCATTTATCTGAGTCAAGATTTTCTTGTTACTTAATCCACCGAAATCAGTCCACATGAGAAATGAAAGCTTTCTCCCAACTTTTGTCTTTTCTGTAGTATTTTATATATGATTGGAAATGCACTTTTAAATTCCTCCTTTGTAAGAATTACACTCACTTGGCTATTTTATTTAAAATGGGATTTTTTTTCCCTGTCTCCTTCCCCTAAAAGGCTATATGTGTGGCTTAAGACCTTCAGGCCTCCTATTATCTGGACCCTATTTAGGCTACAGATTGTATTACTTTTGTTTGATTTGGAACTAAGAAATCTCTCCTTCAGTATGAATATGAAATGCATTTTCCTTATGATGTTTCCATATATGATTGCTCTTCAAGTCTCTCCCTCCAAGAAAATTATTCTGATGATATGACCCTGCTTTGTTTTTTTTTTTAGCATTAGGTAGAGTCAATTGTGCATAGTAATAATTACTTTTGTACCTGTGTATGTCAATACTGAAGCTTGAAATTAAGGCCTGGGCACTGTCCCTTAGTGTTTTTACTTAAGGATGGCACTCTACCACTTGAGCCTCAGCTTCACTTCTGGTTTCTGGTGGTTAATTGGAGATAAATGAGTCTCATGGATTTTCCTGCCCAGGCTGGCTTTGAACCATGATCCTCAGATCTCAGGCCCCTAAATAGCTGGGATTACAGTGGTGCAATTATAAGCCTAGGATTACGGCTGCTTCTGATAGGTCTAATTGTATCAACATAAACTCTAAGTTTCTTTTAAAATAACCCATATATTTTTTCTTGGTTTAGCATCTGCTTGAATAATGCTTAATAAATGTTGATCAGGTAAATAATTTATAAAGTTGTAACAAGACATCATTAGATGTTGGGGTCAATGCAAAATGAAAAAAACTTTTGGCTGTGTCATCTCATGATAATTGTTTTCTTTTGATCAGAAAATCAGCAGCATAGAATTTAGTTGGCAGTGAACCAAAGTGACTGAACTTTTATCAGAAAGAAACATCACCACTAGAGTAAAAATGTGTGCATATGAAACTAATGATCAGGAGACTCAAGTGACATGTCTTTCATGAAGGTTCTGTTTGATGGGAATACAGAAAATTATATCTTATTTCATTTGCATGTATTTAATATATTTGCATATTAATGTCAGTTTTTTACATTATATATGTTTTATATATAGTTTATATAAATATTTATATGTCAGAGAAAGTTGAAGTCCTCAGCTTGTTCTTCACTGATGGTAATTTACTAAGGTGTACAATATTTATCAGCTAAACAGCAAGAATTATGGTAGCAAATACTGACAGATTACTATGAAGACCAACTGTCTCATCAGTTATATGGGAATTTACATAATTTACTCCTATATTTACATGTAAATATAGGAGTTGGATCTATGATAAAGCTGTTAGGGCTGGGAATGGGTATCAAGTGATAGTGTCTGGTCTGTGCTGTTCAAACCCTAATTACGCACGCACACACACACACACACACACACACACACACGCATACACATATACACAGAATATTGAATCTGTGTACATTGCATATCATGATCAATAAGGGACAAGCACCTGCAAAACCATAATTAAGAATTGATTGGAAATTACTTTATTTTAAGACTAAGTTATTTGTGAGCATTTAAAGTGCTGAGGAGTCAGGAATGTGTAGAAGGTAATACTGCATAATACAATATGAATTTGTAAAAATAATTCCTATGAACATATTTGGAATTATTATTGTCTTACTATCAATTCTATAGACCAGTTGCTCTAGGTTATGAAGTTCTTACCAATAATGGTACATTGGAGAGTTTATAAGACTGTATGGTGCCTAGCATTTTCTATGTTCCATAATTTTTTAACTATTTTGAAGAACTCTTTGCTTTCTTCCAAAGTTTGAGCCCTCTTTTGAAATTCTGATTTTTGTTTTTGTTTTTTTGTCAGTTGTAGGGCCTGAACTCTGGGTCTGGGCACTGTTCCTCAGCTCTTCAGCTCAAGACTAGCACTCTACCACTTGAGTCACAGCACCACTTTTTCTGCATATGTGGTGCTGTGGAATCAAACCTAGGGCCTCATGCATGCAAGGCAAGCACTCTACCACTGAGCCACCTTCCCAGCCCCTGAAATGCTGTTTTTATATAAGCTAGCAAAGGAAGTATTTTCTCAGAGAGACTACAGAGGATAAATACATTTCATATGTCCAAATAGTAGTGCTAGAAACAAAGGCAAAATTCCCCTAAATCATATAATCAAGATTACTAAAGTAGAAAGTAAACAGACTTTGCTACAAATTGATGCTATGATCTTTTGAAATTACCTCCAACTCATTTTATGTGTGAGAGAGAGGGGTGAGAGAGAGAAAGAGAGAGAGAGAGAATACTAAGACTTGAGTCTTAGGCCTGCAGCTTGAAACTTAGGTCTCAAACTCTCTCTTGACTTTTACATTTTCAGCTGGAACTCTACCACTTGAGCCACACCTCTACTTCTGGCTTTTTTACTGGATTATTGGACTTGAGTCTCAAGGATTTGTCTGCCCAAGATGACTTCAAACTGGGAATTTCCAGTTGCAGCCTACTGAGTAGCTAAGATTATAGATATGAGACACTAGTGCCTGTCTTAAATTCATTTTTTAAGCAAGAAAAGTTCAAGATTTTGTAATAGTAGAATATCTGAAAATTTATTTTTGAGCTTCTAAAAGGATTGCTGTCTGGGGCCAGTAAAAGCCATGAGATGCTATCTGAAAAATAACTAAAGCAAAAAAAAAAGCTAAAGTCATGGCTCCAGTGACAAAAAGCCCTGCCTAACAAAGGCTCTGGGTTCAAAACCTGGATGCAAAAACACACATATACATCTGTTGAGTTAAATTTGAATTTAAACATTTATTCATCACAAGCTTTCTTAGAGACTATATAGTTCCAACAGAACAGACTTTCCTTGTCTATCATCCTTAAAACTTCACATCAGTATGAGACACATATGGCACTAGTGAGTGAAAGTTTGTTGCAACCAGAAAGTCAGCTCCAAATCCATGCTCTACTCTCTGAGCTATACATGCGGTTTAATGGCAAAATAATGTAAAGGCAACAATGTTAACATAATTTAATTTTTTTCAGATGTTGACAACGTATCTCCAACCTCATCCTCACCAACAAATTCTGCAATGAAAGAATCTTTGCTGACACCAGACACAAAGACAACAACAGAATCTATCCATCCAACACCTGAAATATCTATAGGTACGATGACCTCTCAGTAAAAGAAAAAAAATACTATGTATATACATATATATAGTAAAAGAAAAAATACTATATATATATATAGTTTGAAGAGCAAAATTAGTAAAGCCTATACATTAACATACATAAAAATGACATGGGCTCCTGCATTCAAGGATTATAAAAATCTGTGTTCATTCACTATTTTGAAATCCTTGTGTGTATGTGTGTGTGTGTGTGTGTGTGTGTGTGTGTGTGTGCATGCGTGCACGTGTGAGAGAGAGAGTTGATTTGCATACCGAAACCTGACTTCTCAGTTGGCTTTTCTGTTCATTGTGTCTTGTTTGATCATGATCCTATTGTGAGTGTTACATACACAAAGTTTTCTTTCAGAGAAATACCGATTACCTTGCCTACGTCACAAAGTGATCTTCCCAAATTCTGGAGAATTCCAGTTCTCCACTTAGGTAGTCCAGTCCCCAAGGTGAAGCTATGTGAATTACAGGCTGATTTTGTTGATTGGGCCATGCTGAGAACAGATTTAATTGTAACTTTCAATACCAGTGTCATTGGTTTTTATTGCTGCATTCAGTGGCAGCAACTATATCACTATTTGAGGGACAGTTAGTAAAGGGGATCTACCCACCCCCCCATCTTCCCTAAAAATATTAAAAGCCATTGAGCATCAATTGAAAAGTCAATGTGAGCAACAGAAGTGCTAGGATGGGGGGAGGCTGACAGAGTTCTCCAGCTGGATGACAGGAGAGAAACATGGATGAAGAACACTGGAGAAGGAAGCCAGAAAGGAGCTGACAGAGGTTCTGTTGCCTAGTTACGCCCTTGTGTATTAAGGCATAGCCAAGTTGAACCATGTATAGTATACATAGTAGTATCTAGATACATAGATAGGTAGATAGATAGGTAGGTAGATAGATAGATAGATAGATAGATAGATAGATAGATAGATAGATAGATAGATAGATAGATAGATAGATAGATAGATAGATGAATGGATGAAGGTAACTATGTTACCTTCCCCTAAAGATAATACAATTAATTAATTATGATGAAGATGATAGATGATTGTCTTCAGGAATCACACTTTTGGCTGTAAACTAGAATATCTAGCTTCTTCATCTCAGGACTGTGGAGAGCTTAAATTTGAGTACATTTGATAAACACTCTCTCACTTTCCAAAAAATAATCCAATTTTAACTTCTACAACCATAGAAAAAGTATCCTTGCAGTGAAACCTTTTTTTTTTCTCCTTTACTTGTGGCCAACATCTTCTTAGCTACACAAGAGTTTTTCCTTCCAAAAATAGGACCTAGAGAAGCTTATTTATTTTCATTTCAAGGCTTCCCAATAGGATTTTCTTTGTTTAAAGGTCAGAAGACAGTTGGTTTCATAGTACTTATGTCTATCTGAAGCACATAAATGTATTTTCACTTGCCCGTGGCAGAAATTCTATCATCTGAAAAGTTTAAAAAAAAAAAGAAGTGCAACAGAGATGAGAATTTTCACAGTAACACAGTGATAGAATGATGGGGGGAAAGGACATTGGGTGTAAGCAGTACTGGCCTTGAGCAGAGATTTGCCACTTACAGAGATGGGGTTAGGCTCTTCTTAGCTGGGCATCCAGCAATGACAAACTTTGTGGAAAGGTCAAGTAGACAGATTTTAAAAAACCAACATTTGGTAGACACTACATCTTACCACTCTAAAATGAACTTCTAGGATTATGAAATTTGACTTGCAATTTTGTTTTTCAGCTTTGTTATTCAACTGTACCATAGGAAAGTCACTTATGCTTAATGAGTGGAATTATACTGAAGGAATAAGAATTTCGGAGCATGGTTCTTAAGTTTTGTGGTACTAAATAGGTATCCAGTTTCTGCTGAGATTAGTAGAAAAGCCAGGTATTTTGGGCCATCTGTTTCACAGAAAGTGTTAGATTTGGCAGTTATTAAATTGCATGGAGAAAAAGGGAAAGATGAACCTCTAAAGAACAGACTTTTGAAGAACATGCTTGGAAATGTTTTGTATGACTAGTCGCCATGAAGGTGGGATTTTTCTCCATTGTCTTTCTCTCCTACTCATTACCTTTCCATCAGGAAGCCTGAATGGGAAAATGAACAACTGGAAATATCTCTTGTAGATGATTCTTTCATTTGTCCTTTGCACAGAATTTTGATCCAGTGAAATTGACATTTTTAAGTTTAATCCTTATAAAATATGTTTACCAATTATTTTCTTGAAAACTTTATGACCTAAATGGGATTTAACACAGCCTGTAAAGTTGACAAAGCAATTTCATAGAACAGAATTATGATAGTCTAATGACTTAAGCTTAGCCTTTGTTGACTTAAAATTAAATACTAGCCTTTACAGTGCATAGCTATAGTTTTCCCTTTTTGTGCTGACTTCAGTCCATTTGTCTGATCAACTTCTTAAAAGTTCTTCATTATTACTCATACACTGAAAATGAACAGATATCACAGTTATTGGTTACTGAGATACTCATGATGGTGATACACAAATATGTTCCAGAATTGCAGCATAAATGCCGAATATGAGAAATGAACTACAACTTATATGAAACTGCTTACTAGTGTTTGAAGCGACTATTCATCAATTCGTGATAAATCTGAAATAGTATTACTCTTACTCCAAAAAAATAACTAAGGGGTGGGGGATTAGCTCAAGTGGTAAAATGCCTGCTTAGCAAATAAAAGGCTTCTAGTTCAAATCCACCTAAAAGAAATTGCACTGAAAGAAGAGATGATGAGCTGTTGACGATGAGAAATTTTGTGCTTTGTTGTTTCTCTTCTCTCAGGGCCATTTATTTGAATTATTTCCTTATTCTTACCATTACTCAGATTTAAAAGGTACTAAGAGTCCAGGACTCTGGAAGAGGAACAAAGCAGAGTTCAAAGAATATTTCATGGCTCAAGTTTTCAGGCTCCTTTATGACTTATATTTAACTTAGAATTTTCTTCACTCCAAGTTAACAAAGTGAAATGTAATTCTGAAAAATAAATTGTGATATTCCTAGATCCCACTGGTCCAGTCATAGTTTGGAGGAGATTTTGGAGAAGTAGAAGGAAGACAGGAAGAAAATAAAATCATTTTAGATTTCTACAATTTAGATGTTTTGCAATACTTTTTGCATACTTAATGATATTCACCTAACAATCTGCAGGAGAAATTTGCTACTTGGATCTTCATATAAAAACACATGTGTTTTTGTGTATACCTCTATGTATACCTCTATATATTCCTCTTGGGACCCAAGGAGTTAGAAAATGGAAAAAATAGAGATGAAAAAGATAAAGTTAGTGGGAAATTCAAAAATTACAAGGAAAAAATTAAAGGTTTATCCAGCACATCTTCAAAGGGCTTCCATTTCACTTCCAAATTCAGCTTTTATTTATTCTGTTGGGATAAGATTATGAATAATAATGTCATCTGTCTTATCAAACTAGGAACAACCAGCAAAGACTCATCAAAAACATCACTTACGCCAGAAATTACTTCACTAACAACTGCTAAAACTACAGGTAAGTATTAATTTATTTTGCCTGCTTTAAATACACACACACACACACACACACACACACACACACACACACACATAATTCTTCCTACTCAGGAGGCTGAGATTTGAGGATCACAGTTTTGAAGCCAACCTGAGCAGGAAAGTCTGTGAAACTCTTATCTATAATTAATCAGCAAAAGTCAAGAAGTGGAGGTGTAGCTCAAGTGGTGGTATACTAACCTTGAGCAAAAAAGCTCAGGGACAGTCTTGAGTTCAAGCCTCAAAAACAGCACTAAAAAACAAAAGCAAACAAACAAACAAACAAAAAACCCTGTAATTGTTACCCTTATAAAATGTACATCAGTGACTTTTAGTACATTCATAGGTGTGCTATCTTCCCATCTCTGACCATGATATTCCTTAATTTCACTGATATTCAGAACTTTCAGTGTGGAAAGATTGTACTTTTTGTTCAATTTATTACTTATGGTATCCAAGTTTTTGCTTTTGTAACTTGTTTTTCTATCAATGTTGCATTGTTCAGATTCTACTGTATAGAAATACAATTTACTTTCATATATTATTATATCCTGATACTTTGTTGAATTCATTTATTAGTTTTGATCTCTGTGTATCTATGTGTGTTTATTAGAATTTTCTAGATTCACTATAATTTATTCTGAAAATATAACTTCCTTTCCAATGTACATACCTTTTGAATTTTTACTTATTTTTATTGCCTAATTATCTTGGCTATACCACCCAATACAATGTTAAACAAATAGTAACAAGGGATATCTATATTGTTCCTAATTATAAGAGAATGTTGCCCATATTTTGCCACTAAGTATTATAATATGACATTCTCTTGTTTTTTTTTTTTTTGGTCTTTTGGTCGGTGGTGGGGCTTGAACTCTGGGCTTAGGCGCTGTCTCTCAGCTCTTCAGCTCAAGCACTCTACCGCCTGAGCCACAACACCACTTCCAGTTTTTTTTTCTAGTGGTTAATTGGAGATAAGAGTCTTACGGAGGGTAAACAAAGGAGGAGGCTGCAATGCTTGGTAAGAAATGTACGCATTATCCTGCCCATGCAATTGTAACCCCTCTGTACAGTTTGTTCACAAATAAAATAAAATTAAATTTAAAAAAAAAGAGTCTTACGGACTTTCCTGCCCAGGCTGGCTTTGAACTGTGATCCTTAGATGTCAGCCTCCTGAGTAACTAGGATTACAGGCTTGGGCCACTGGTTCCCGGTCCTCTTGTTTTCTTAATATGACATATAGTACTGATTTTTATGTAGAATCATCCATGCCTGTAATAAATTTAACTAAGCCATGATGTATAATTATTTTTAAAGGAAACGTGTTTGGTTTATTTTGCTATTTTCCTGTCTATATTCATAAAAGATAAAGGGTTGTAGCTTTCTTTCCTTGTCATGTTTTTGTCTGGTTTTAGAAGTAGGTAATAATTAGGTAATAACCTCTAGATTGATATGGAATATATTTCTTCCTCTACTAATTTTGGGGTGGGGGAAAAATGATGCTCTTCTTACTCTGAGAGAGGACTGGTAAGATGAACATGGTAGAAAACCCACTAGCAATTTAGACCACTCCTCTGTTCTTTTGACTCAATAAAAAAAAATTCTACATTTAAAAGAAATCTTAGGAAAAAGACCCAAATGCCAATAACTTAACCAGACAGGACTTAAACAGCAGAATCGTTGCATGTCAGGAGCAAGGTAGACATACACATTTTTCTTTTACAACCAAATAGAGGTCTGGAGGATTTCCTGACAAGCTTGGTATAAACAGGACTTCATGGATACAGTTAAAAGGACTGGAATAAAGTACTTTTTAACCTCATTCATAGTAAGACAAGAAATTAATGTACATTTTTAAACCAGAACAACCAACAAAGCACTCTTTCTTAGCCACCACCTGGCCCAGGAGTGACCTCATGAGAATGTTTGTGTACTGAAGTGTTCAAAAGGGACAGCTCAAATGTTCTAGAAGACGTAAGCCCTCCATAAACACTACTACTATTGATTCACTGATTTGTAAGACCACATGAGTAAATAGGGTCACTCTATCTGAGAAAATATAGAAGAAATCTTACAACATTTACTCCAACTCCAAGAAATATTGTCGAAAATAGACTTTAGGGAAGACAGGGACCAATATCTACATATTCCATCAAGTGTCTAATTAAGATCAGATTGATTCTTCTTTTTTAAGTTTTACTACCGTTTTAATAATGGGTTCTTCATCCTGCTGGCAGATAGAAACCTAGCTGCAAAAGTCATGCATAAGATTACAAAATTCAATTACTAATGTATCAAATGAATGAAATAGAGCATAAGATTAGAACTATATATATATATATATATAGAGAGAGAGAGAGAGAGAGAGATACCCCTTAGAAGTAGAAAAATTATGTGTTCTTAAAAATTATCTTTATATAGTTGTACACAGCTTGCATATAATCAAAAGTCAGTTTATAAGTTCAAGGTATCTTCCATCATTCTTCTCCATCTTTCCCAACCTCATCATCTCCTGAAGTTACTTCATTCCACTTTTACATATGTGTATCAAGGAGGATGACTATCTCCAAGCACTGCTCCTCTCTCCATTCTTGACCCTCTCCCTCTTAACTCCCATCCCTCTCAGACAAAATGTCTTAGCTTGCTAAATTTTATTTTCTTAAACTGTTCATTGTTCAAAGGGGATAAACCATCAAAATCCATCCCTTCATATAGCCTTTAGTCAGTTGGATGGTGCAATTACACTGATGGCCATGTATGGGGTTTAATTATATGTTTCTATTTTAGATCTAATATATGGAAGAAAACATGAGCCCTTTGCCTCTCTGATACTGACTTACTTCACACAAAATAATTTTTCCAGGTCCACCTATTTCCCTGCAGATGAGATGATGTAATATTATTCTTTCTGATGGCTGAATTAAATTCATACACACACACACACACACACACATACATACATACATACATATACATATATATATATATATATATATATATATACATGCCACATTTTCTGGATCCATTTGTTGGTATCTAGGCTGTTTCTACAACTTGGCTAAACCATATGCTGCTAAAACACAGATTCACACCACTGCCAGAGGGATTATTGTTAAATCCCAAATTCTGGATCCTTCTGATACCATGAAATTATCCCAATTTATTTGATCTCTGAACTTTGTATAAAAGAGGCCATTCTAAATATAAGCATAATGATATTCCTAGCCTAAGGTTAGCACCAAATCCCTGTAGGGAGCTACCTGGCAAATAGGTTGAGGAAAAGAGTAGATCAGGAGGTAGCCAATTGCTCACTTAGCCAAGGTCTAAACAAGAGAGGACTCAGAGATGTCTGTTCTTTGGGTTTAAACTAGGTCCTTTCAAGTCTTGCGACAGCAAGAACATTGCTACACATGTAACTCCATAGGGGTCTTCCTGCCTACCTTAGCCAACATGTAAATGCTACAAAAAAAAGCTTTTTTAAAAGTTTAATACTCACATAGAAATACAGCTTTCTCTCTCTTTTGTTTCACCACTAAAACCTCAGCTCCCACTCATCTTCATTTTCCCAACACTGTTCTTTCAGTCTCTCAGTGTTCCTTGAGTCTCCATGGTGCCTGGCTCTCTGGTTCTATCATCTGAGCTTCCCCTCCCTAGGTGTAAGTACTGGAGGAGATGAAGTCAGTTTGGAATGCATGCCTTCACATCTATTTCCCCTTCTTGGGCTCAACACATATTTATTTACAACCTGGGCTACTTATTTTCACCCTAAGCAGAGAGACCAAAAGAATCTGAGGAAAATCTTTGCCAATTTCCTGCCACCACTCTTTGCTAATGCTTAGAAATATTTTGCTAAGACCAATAGCACAGACATTGAGGCAAGTAACAGTCTTACCAGAAGAAACTCTTATCCTTTAAGTTATTGCAATGAATCAAGACATTAATTAAGTTTCTGCCAAACCACCTACCTCCCTATCACGGGGACAGAGTTTCTATGAAGCACTTACTCAAAATAGTCCTTGAAAATGGAGGTCCTTTGGCAAGCGCTTTTAAAAAAATGTTACCCTCCTAGGATTTCACAATAACGCATTTAAAAAAAATCCATGAAAGTTTTAAAGCTGTGAAGCTCTAAATTAGTTTGGCAATTAGACAACAACTTTAATAAAAAAAAACAATAAATGTTATTTTGTGTATTTAAGGAATACAATGTGGTGCTGTGAGATTTAGAGAGAGCTGAATGGTTACTCTCAGAGCAAAACAAATCCACATACCCAGCCTTTCACAGTTACCCAACTTTTGTGGCAAAAAAAAAAAGCTACAACCTATTTTCTAGTGGAAATCCCTGATAGAGCACAATGCTGACTGTGATTCTCACGCTGTATTTGTCTTTCCTACACAGCTGCTACTTCTCTCTCCCCCCCCACCTCTGAGTCACAGGTTGTTTCCTTTATAAATCTATGATAACAATGTAATAAAAATACTAACACAATGTCTTTAGTGCTACCCTGTATCCTCTGAGCTCTTCAGGTCCTCCATCACCCCAAAATATAAAACTTAAAATACTGATTTCTGTAAGACTTTCACCAATGAATCCTCAAGTTGTAATTGGATGTTAATGTGAATATTAATAAGACTAGCTAGTGATTTGTGGTATGCCTAATGGATGCTCCTTTTTCCACATGATTAGACAGCACAACTCTTGGTGTCACCACAAAAGAGCTCATCACTACAAACAAAACAGGAACAACTCTCCCACTCTCAGATGCTGCTTCAACATCCCAAAGTTTCCAGCACACATGTGAGTAAGAAGATTTGAACTGATATGTTCAACTAGTGTATTGCATGGGACTAACCTAAGAATGTGTTCTACCTCACCCTACCTACATCCTCTTCTAGCCCCCAGCAACCAAGATAATAATTTGGTGGTTTTTTTAAACAATAATGTATTATCCCAGAGATACAAATGGTGGGTACCAAGGCAGAAGAATATAAAGCTGGGCATTAATACATGATATATCATCTGGCAACAAGAGACAGTTTGGCCAACCAAGTAGGCAATTTTGACAAAATGAGAAAATTATCCTGTAGTTACCAGTAATTGTATTATCGTGAAATACAGCAGAACTTTGTTTTCTTATTTGTTCAGCCTCTCTCCTTCTCTTCCTTATTTCTATCCTTCCCAGCACCTAGTAAGCACCATTTTTAGGTTTTATGATATCCATACCTTTGTATTCCACATATGTGCAGGCTCATGCCACACTTCTTTTTAGGGAACTGGCCTAATTGACATAAGATCCCTAATTCCATCCATGTTATAACAAATGACAGGATTTCACTGTTTTATAACTCAATACTATTCCACTGTGTATATGTACCACATTTTCTTCAGTCATTCGTCAATTAATAAGCAGAGAGGCTGTTTTCCAAATTTTTACTATTGTCAAGTAGGCTGCAGTGAACATGCAGGTGTTTCTTGACCTGCTCATTTTACTTCCTTTGTATATGTACCCAGGAGTAAAATGGCTGGATCAGATGGTCCTTCTATTTTTAATTATTTGAGGAATCTCTGTGAGACTTTCAATAATAAGCATATTCATTTACAACAAAGTAATAAGGGTGCCTTTTTCCATAGCCTCAGCAACACTTTTAATCATTTGTCATTTGATAAACCATTCTTATAGAAGTGGGACTATCATTTACTGGGATTTTGATTTATATTACTCTGATATCAATGATGTTGAACATCTCTTTCGAAAAAAAAGAAAAGGATATGACTTTTAAGAAAGGTTGTCTTTGGTCTATTGCCCATTTTTAAGTCTGATTATTTATAGAAATATACTTTTAGAAGAACAAAAGCAAGTGATATATGCAGCTAGAAATGGAATGAAATCAACGAAAAAATTCAAGGGAGTTTTTCATGTTGATGAAAATGTTCTACAACTGGATTAGAGTGCTTCATAACACTGTAATCTTATAAAAATTATTTGTTCCATAGTTAAAGTGATACATTTAGATATTATTCAGTGAGTAAACAATGTATTTTTAAAGTTTTATTCAAAAAAAATTGTTGACCATGACCAATTACATTTCCTTCTTACATAATCTGAACCAAAAAATCCAAGCAAACAAACAAAAAGAATTCACCATGGGAAATACATTGGCAAAGTATCAGTATTAAAATGAGTCTGAGAACATCTTGGTGACTCACGGGCATATTCGTATATAAAGAGGCAAATGTCATAAATAACTGAAATTGGCAAGAGGATGGGCAGAATGTGGTGGTGGTGTAGAAAGACTCCATGAACTCGCTTAATTTCCTCATGAGACAAAGAGAATGCTAGTTAATTTCGGATTTCTGGTTTCAGTCCACATGTATCCTTACAATAAGCATTTCTGTCCTATATATTCCATGCAATCTATACATATAATCCGAAGATCCTCACCAGCATAATTAGCAACCTATCAAAATAGCTTTACTTAAAACCTTGTAATTCATGCATGTGTTTTGGGCATAGTCACAACATGATAAGAACCAATTAAAGGCGTCTCATCATGTCTAAGTCTCTGGTTTAGAGATCTCTAAGGTTAGAGGAAATGATGGTTGAGCAAAACCACACCAGGAGGATACCATAATTGTCAACTACTAATTATATTTAAGGGAAATACCATCTCTTAGGAAATGGGAAGAGTAGTACCTTTTCCTATATGCACCACATTTTTCTATCATACTGTCTCGGCTGTGATAAGCAGCATCTATTTTGTAGGAAAATATGTGTATGAAATGAATCTTCTGCAACTTATTCACAACTTATCTACCTCATAATACATTGATCCCTAATACAAACAAAAACAAAGCTATATTTGAGTCATCAAAGGTCATAGCATGTTCTGGAGATTAAACTGCTTTATACTCTGAACTGAATATTCACCCATTCGTGACTGATGACCAACAAAGTAATATCCAGAGACTATGGCTTCTTGAAATTATGACCCACACGGAAGTACAACATGAGTCACCAAAGACACTTAATTTTACTTTGATTCACAAAATAATATGCCCTGTGCATCTAAGTTCTGGGTACCATTGTACTTCTTAGTTTCTAGACACAGTAGGGAATGGCTTTTTCCAAGTTGTTAAAAATACATAAAAGCCATTTCTTGAAAAATGAAACATATGGAAAGCAAGATAATGAAAGAAGGGCATTTACTCTTGCTCTTTGTTACTTAACCATATATATATATATATATATATATATATATATATATATATATATATATGGTTAAGTGCATATATTTATATATGCACTTGAGGCATTTGTTATAAATACCTAACAAATTCCTGGGACATCCATTATTCCATGGATCTCTCTATTCTGAATGCTAAGCTGTCCTGAAGTGTCCTCTACCACATTAATTACTAAATTACTTTTCTGTGAAGCCTCACTCCAAAGGAGTAGTACATGGATGAAATACAGACAGATTCTTTGATAGCTTGCGTCTCTAAACTTTTCCGATTTCTCCCACAAACCACTTGTAAAAGAACAAAAGCCACAGTCAAGTTTAATCACTGTAATGATTCTATTCCTCTCTCTCTCTCTACATTTTAGTATTTGTTACTTTTACATGGTATTGACCAAAATACTTAGAAAAACAAAAAACTTAAAGGGAGAGAAAGATTGATATTGGCACGTGGTTCTAGAGATTTCAAACTGTAAGCCTGATTACGGGTCTGAATATATGGCAATGAGGATTTATGGAGGAGAAAGCAGTTCATTTCATGGTGGACAAGAAGCAGAGGGGAGGGGAGGAGCAAGAGACAAGATATGCCCAAGGCATGCTCTCAGTCACCCACTTTCTCCAATTAGGTTCTATGGATTTCACTACAAAATGAACAATTCCATAGTAACACAGAAACCAGGGCAGTTTACTTAAAATATTCTGTTGTATGACAGGGTCTATAATCTAGTTCATGCAATATTAGAGAGAAACAAATACTAGTTCAAGGTTATTGGTACAACCATCTCAAGAAGTTAGGAGAAAAATAATAAACCTACAGAAAGGAAAAGGAAGAAAATAATAAAAATAAGAGGGGATATTTATAAATGACAATCACACATATTTCAAAGTGGGCCAGCAAAATTAAAGTTTTGTGGTTTAGGACGTGAAGACATAGAAATAGAAATTATTTTACAAATGTAAGTCTATAAGAAGAAAAGCTGAAAAAAATAACACTCAGCAAGGTATTAGCACAAAGGGTTCAAATACACATGGTGGAAGTTCCAGGAAAAAGAGGAAGAGGGGGTCTTAAAAGTAGTTTTTAAAATATTTACCAACTTGATTTTTTTTAATAAAAGCTATCAACCCATAGCTGCAGCAAATTCAATAAGTCCAAACTAGAGAAACAGAAAGGAAATCACATCAAAGCGCAACATCATCAAATCCTAGAAAAATCAGAGATAAAGTCAAAAAAACAATTGTAAAAATGACAACAGAGTTTCATCAGGAGCAATACATGACAGAAAACAATGAAGTGACATCTTTCTACTGGAAGGGAATAAAAGTATCACCCTATTTATATTCTATAAATATTCTTTGGACATAAAACATCAATAAAAATCTGGCAAGAAGGGGAAAATATCACCAGATGGAACTTTGGATCTAAATAAATGCAAGAAGAGATTTGACCATAGTAAATATATGAGGAGATATAAAAGATTTTTTTAACTATTTTAGTCTCATGCAAAGATTGTTGAAAGATTGTTGTGATTATTGAAAGAAAAGATAACAACAGTGTATCAAATGTTTAAGATATCTATATCTTACAGTCACAGAAGAATAAATGCCAAGATTGAAATATAATTGCTGGAATACAATCCTTAAATATACTCAAGTCAACTTGGATCCCAGTGGTTCACTGGGCACCAGTAGTTCTAATCCTATCTGAGAGATGAGGATCCAACCCAGCCTGCTCAGGAAAGTCCCTGAGATTGTTATCTCCAATTAGCCACCAAAAAGCCCAAAGTAGAGCTATGACTGACAGATAACCAGCCTTGCAAGGGAAAAAAAAAGGCTCCCTGACAATGCCCAAGCCCTGTGTTCAAGCCCCTAGGATCGCCACCAAAATAAAATCAAAATATTCAGTCCAAAAAAGGACAATAAATAGAGAGAAAAAGAAACTAAAAACAGATAAGAACTTAAAATCAAATAAAGATCAGGATAATATGATTATATCCAATTATAATGACAAGCACAAAAACCAGGATAGTTTGAACTCCATTAGAAAGATGAGACTGTGAGACTGGAACAAATATATGGCCCAAATCATTTAAAATATAAACTGATTTGAAGCAAAAGATGGGAAAAGTATGTTTTGCTAAAAATAAAACTGCGATGGCTATAATAATATTAGCCAAAAAAGTTTCAGAGTAAGGAATTCATCAGGGATAGTAAAGTTGCCTTAATCCATTGTGAAATAATGTAAGACTTTGAATCTTTAAATACTATGTTATAGAAGGAACTAAATCTTGACATTTTTGATGATGCTATCACTCTAAATACATTCTCACTCTAAATACATTCTGTAAAACAGAGACAGAGAGAGAGAGACAGAGGAAAAGAGAGAAGGGGGAAGGTGAGGAGGGAGGGAGAGATTAGGGAAAGAATACAATGACTTCTATATTTGAGACCAATCAGAATAGAAATCACACCGAATCTCAATGATATATATCAGTCAGATCACTTAGCAATACTAAGAAGCAAGGATCACCTACTGTGGATCACTTATCAATACCACAAAAC